TCATCCCCAGCTATTTGTTGGTACTATTTATTATTATGATCTGCTGTTTGCTTTTTTAATTGAGCAAGAATTCTACCACTCTCTTATGCGTAGTGTGCACGTTTCTATGTTATGTTTCTTCTTATAGGAATTTAATTTTGTTAGTTTAATGGCAAAAGAAAGAAAAAAAACTACAAAGACTGGTTTTATAATTCTCTGGATTAAAATTTATGGACTTCTAAATTTTAAATTCAAGTTATTACAAATAATTAGTTATGACAATTATATATTAATCATAATTATGTTTTGATCTTAACATGAGATTTAGGTTAATAAGTAATAACTTGACCTTAATGAAGTGTGGGCATATGTTGGCCCTCAACTAATGTCCGGAAGGAGGGGATATTACCTTTTCAATATAGTTTTTTCACCTATACCAGGCTTTTACGATCTATGCTATGTCAATAAGGACCTTTAGAGACTATCTGCCCATAAATGGGTTGAGGGACCCATATTTTTTCTTTTGGTTCTAAGCTATGCACCTTTGAGTGCTTCTCCGCAGGGATGGGTGCTGTCATTTTATGTCACTTTTAACCTATAAGATTTCATTAGAGAACTATACTATTTTAATAAGAATGCGTGACAATATCTTATAAAATAGAAATCAAGGACAAGACAAGAAATCTGTCCAAAACTTGTTAAGTTAGTTTGAGATTCATCTCAAACTTCTCAAGGTTAAAACTTGTTTAAATTCATTTCAAAATGTATCAACTTATAAAAATTTATTTACATTTCATGTGTGATATTAGGCTTTTGTAGTTGACGTTTCTATTCTATCTGGGCCTAAATGGCGTGGCTCAACACTATCCAGTTGGTGATTACAAAATACAAAATCAAAAGCTCTTGTATTAACCGACGGAGGGTCGAAAAAGAGCTAATAAAAATTAAAATTGGGGGACTAAATAAGATATTTTGTGAGTTGAGGGAACAAATTGAGGCTCTATAGTCTATACTAAAGTTGAAGGACACATTTTTATCCGTTTATCCTTATAGGGTAAAAAAGAAAAAGGAGTAGATCAAATGTTAGTATTTTCTTCATATATATTATTGATGGACTCAAATATTGAAATATGATATTTTCTACTAATGGATTCGTGATCTCAATTCAAAAATTGAATTTATTATTAAGTAAGTTTTGTTTGAATATAATATTTAAATATTAAAGACAATTTCTATTTTTTATATTTTATTTTTAAAAATAAAAATAAAAATAAAAACAATTTTTATGATATTAACACATATTCTAATTTAAAAAATATAGACATAGGGAATAAGTTTATTTAGTGCTAAATAAATTTAGTATTCAAGTACTAAGTTAATACCAATAAAAATTAAATATGCTAATTCAATATTTCAAAAAAAAAAAAAGAATGCATTTTATCAATATTATTTTTTTTGAATAAGTTGTCCAGGGATACCTCAAGTTGATAGGGTATCAGTTAATCTGAAGGGTCAAGCATGAATGCATTTTATCAAAATTATTAATAATACAATTTAGTAGTAAAATTATTTATATTTTTAATCACAATTATAAGATTTAATTCTTACTTTTTACATTAAAAAATCACCTTTTATAAAAATAAAAAATAAAAATAAAAATGAAGTTCACCTTATGATTATCCGGTAAGAGATTAGTGTGGAGCTAAGCACAAACTGTCTGGGTACGTCTGACATTCTGACCGTCCAAACTCCAAACTCAAAAAAAATCCACCCGATGCCTCCTAGCCGAATCAATTATTCATCCATCACGCACCAAAGCTAAAGGTTTCACCTTTAGTTGTTGGTATAGTGTTAAAGCCTCCAACAAGGACCCTTTCTTTTCTCCTTTTTATTTGATAAGGACTCTGTCTCACTGTGCAATTTCTTTCTCCCAGTGGGTTGTGACTCGTGTTGACTTTTTCCCGATAAAACACCAAGGATCAGGAGAAAATAAGCTTTGTATGGGCTCTTCTATGGCTGACCATTAGCAGATACGGTATGAGTTCTTCATCCAAGTTAAAGGGTCGTTTCTAGTTTTGAGATCTTTTATTTAATTGTCTTTTTTCTTATGTGAAATCTTTTTGAGGGTGTTATATTGTTCCTGGGTTTGGATTATGGGGTGTTGTTATATTGAATTTTTGATACCTTTGATCTTTTTCATTGATCAATATTTTAGTGGTTTGGTTTGATGGGTATCAGGAATGTGAATTACATTTTTTCCTCTTGTTTTTAGTCGAAAGTAATGTTCTCTGATTGTTTGTGAGAATGTTTAGAAAGAGAGGTTGGTGAATTTATGGACTTTCTTAATAGGATAGTTTGTTGCAGATGGGGAATTGAGCAAGCTAAGGTTCCAGCTTTGAAAGGTGAAATCAATTGAGAACTTTGATCTCAAATTGTGTAATCAATAGTTGGTGTTAACATTTTAGCGGTGAAGATGGAACTTTGTTCCTTCTCTAATATATTATATCCAAATTGAAGTCCTTTAATACCTGTTTCAAAGATGATATTGCAGATTCATGGAAAAAAAAAATATGATAATGCATGTTAGTCTTCTGGTGTGCTTTGTTACTGCAAACAATTTGTTGCTTCCTCTTTTTGAATAATAAGTTGGAATGTATCATGGGTAAAATTGCTCACTGATTTTACTCAACACTTCTTATTATGTTTTAGGTATGTTGTTTTGGAGTTTACGTGCGAGACCTCTTTGTTTCATCATTGAAAATTATGCATCTCTTCCTACTTTAGTCATGATTTTGCTTTGAAGAAGCTTGATAGGAAGGTTTTAACTGCTTCTGCCTTTTCCTTTGTCTGATTTGCCATGTCAATTCACCAAAAGAAATTAAAAATGTATATCATTGTTATTTTAATTTTACATGTCATATTGGGAGTTCCTTGGGGAACCTATGTTTTCTTTTTAGGGATCCTTTATTTTCTTTTTATTGGATATAAAACTTATTGATGTCATGGTACTGAGCCTGCAGAAATCTTGCCTTGCAAAATGTTCTCAACGCTGGAATCCCAAAGAGGACCAAAGAATGAGTTATAACGCTTATTTGGTCATTCTTGGCATCTCTGCCTCTCTGGCCCTTGGTTTCTTGATAGCTTTGCTTGTCTTTCTTGTAACAAGGTGGTACAAAAAGCATGCTCATCTCAGAAAATGTGTAAATGAGCGTAGTGTTGCAACTCTTCCCATACGCTCCAATGGCTTGGGAGCAAGCACTGACTTTAGTGCCTCTATCTCAAGTTCCATTACTACTCAGGGGCCAGAACATCCTCAGAAAAATTCTTGGCATTCTTGGTGGAATCATCACAGTAAAGAGCAGTTTGCTTCTCTATCAGGATCAGGCACACTCAAGTATTCTTACAAGTAATTCAATTCTAAATTGATCACAAGCTTGTTAGTTCTTATGAGAGTAATATTAAATTTGAATCATGTTAATATACTTATCATTTCTTAAGTCTTTATTTGCTGAAATTTGTGATGACAGATTTATAACTGATTTTGTGTATATTTCTCTGGCTCTATTCTTCTTGCTTCTGGGAAAAAAAAAAAAGTGTAATCATGCTAATTCCTCAAAAAATTCTGCATTATTTTTGCTTCACTAAATTTTGTCTTAATTGTTACAACATAAAACAAAATAATTGTAGCAATAATGAAACATACCAAAGATAGCAACAAAAAGGAGACAAACATAAGTATTGAGTAGCAATAAAACTTCTAAAAGTAGCAAATATTCTTTTCTGATTGTTCCCTATCTTCTATAAACTTATAAATCCAAGATTCATTCCTTAATTTATGACTCAACTTCTTTTATTTGCTGGACTTTAACTCTATGAATGAGCAATGCATCCGTCATTATGAGTAGTAGTTTACAAGGAGAAAACTAGGCATCTGAGTTGTGTTCCTACAACTTTCTGCTTTAGTTAACAAGCTATTATAGTTATTTAACATATTCATGGTCTTCTTGGGTTAGTTTGTCATTTATTTACTGGTATTATATTCAGAATGGTAACTTCAAAAAATTTTCACAAGAACCTCAGTAACTTGTGTTTATTACATATTGCAGTAGCTAAAGATGTGAAGAAGGTATTCACTGCTGAAGTAGGCTTTAACTGCATGTTTTGATGCAAATCCTCAGGCCATTTTTATCTAAGCTAAATATTTATGCTCATGGGTCTTCCTGAGTTTATATCTGATAAATACCTTGAACTCATACTGTCATTATATCTATTGATTGTTTTTTTCTTTTTTACCATAATGATAATCTTATCCATTATGCTGTTTAGGGATATTCAGAAAGCTACACAAAATTTCACAAATATTGTTGGCCAAGGATCATTTGGGCCAGTATACAAAGCTATAATGCCTACAGGAGGAATAGCTGCTGTGAAGGTGCTTGCTTCTAATTCAAGTCAGGGGGAGAAGGAGTTCCAAACAGAGGTAAGCTACACTGTCTTCATAAGAAAGAGAAAGACAATAAATACACATCTTTGCCTAAGAATTTATAGTTGCTTTATATGTAGGGTAATTTTTTTTGTAGCCCTCGTATGCATTTTAACTTTAGTCTTAAGTAACAAAACAGGTTGAGTTTCCATTCTTAAGTATGATCCCTTTCAGGTGTCTCTACTAGGAAGGCTGCATCATCGGAACCTTGTGAATCTAGTGGGATATTGTGTAGATAAAGGACAACACATGCTGGTTTATGAATACATGAGTAATGGGAGCTTGGAAAACCTTCTATATGGTAAGCTCAGAAGCCATTTTTATTCAATTTCCAGAGTTGATATTCCTTCTGATAACTGACAATAAGAGAATGAACATCTAAGTATGTTGAAGGAGTGTTTTAGGTTGAAGAATTATTAAATATTTTTATCTTCTTGAAATATATTTTTGAAGTAGAAATACTTGGTTTTTCTTTTTCTTTCTAAATTTTGATTTGTAATTCTACAATAATTTTTCTGGCATGCTAATGTTTGTTCATTTTTTTTTTCTGTTTCACTAAGCAGTAAGAATACCAAAGTCACCAAACTCCTGATGTTAAGTGTTCAAATATCAAATGATGGAAAGTCTGCAACATAACTATGCAAAAACTTACTTGGAGATTACAATAAGTTATATGCTCTTTTTGTTTTCTGCAACTGTAGATGAATGTTGAGTGTCTCTGTGAGAAAATTTGCATCCATATTTAGGGGTACTTTCCAACTTAAGGTGGACTATGGTTTATTATTACCTGTTGCTTAACTAGAGTTATTCTGCTTGGCATTCAGGTGAAGAAGCACGAGCTCTGAGTTGGGAAGAAAGACTTGAAATAGTTCTTGATATTTCGCATGGGATTGAATATCTTCATGAAGGGGTAAGTGAAATGATAAAAATCTGATGTTTACCTTCATTATTTGAACTAGCCACTGACTAATGTGATAATTCTTGTAACAGGCAGTCCCACCAGTGATACACCGTGACCTAAAATCTGCAAATATATTGTTGGACTATTCAATGAGAGCCAAGGTCTGCTACTTTATTAAACCCCTTTCTTATGATCCATTTAGTTGAATATGCATAGGAAAATTTTGATTGCTATGTTTGGCCAAGATTACAAAAGAAATCTTGTTTCTCTCTGTTCTTTATCCCTTCTATATTTTTCTAGAGGCTCTAGGAAAATAAGGAAAGCAGGGGAGTTGCAGACCAGGATGACAAAACGATATTGTTTCATTCTAAAAGAAACTGTTGATAATTTTGATAGGCTAATGGACAATTTTACTGCCTTTTTGGTAGGTTGCTGATTTTGGGCTGTCAAAAGAAGAGGCCTTTGATGGCCGGAACTCTGGCCTAAAAGGTACTTATGGCTACATAGATCCAGCATACATATCCACGAGCAAGTTCACAATGAAGAGTGACATATATAGTTTTGGCCTTATCATTTTCGAGCTTATCACAGCAATCCACCCACGCCAAAACTTGATGGAATATGTTAATCTTGTGAGTATCCTTGATTGCGCCTTATATGCTAGAAGCCTTTATTCTTCATCTTTCTAACCATGCATGTGCCTTTGTTATTTATATCTCTCTTATCTATTCTCAGGCTGCTATGAGTTCTGATGGTATTGATGAAATTCTTGATAAGAAACTAGTTGGAAAATGCAACATTATGGAAGTGAGAGGGCTAGCCAAGATTGGTCACAAATGCTTACACAAATCACCTAGGAAGCGACCTTCAATAGGTGAAGTTACACAGGCTATATTGAAAATAAAGCAGAGCCGCCTTGCTAAACAAGACACAATGTCTTCTGTGGAAGGAGATTTTTCACAAGTTCTGAGCCGAATAGGAATTCAACAGGTAGAATTGGCAAGGTTGGCTAGCATGGAGGGTGATTGATCTATGTCTCACTGCCTTCCACTGTCCTTCTTCCTTAAACAGAAAATACTAACAATATGACAATAGGATAGCAAGAGTAGATATAGGGCAATGGTTTTTAACCAAATGAGTACTTTTTCCAACACTAACCTCTGCTGTTTCAAGGATTTCAATCATCAAGAGCAATGGAAATATGCCGTCTTGTTTTGCTTCTCCAGAGGAGTAACTCTTCACTTCTAAAGACATGGAAAAGTATCTAACGAGAACCATCTGGTATAATCTTGGATCCTAAAAGTTATATAAAAATGAGAAAATGATTCCAAAAAGATGTATATAATTCCTCTAGGGGGCTAATGATATTGCTGCAATTAAAATTGTTAAGGTCATTAATTTAATTGTAATTTTATTAATTTATATTTTTTTCTTAAATAATTGTAATATATAAAAATATCTATTTATAAATTAATTTTAATATATTAAATAATAAATATTTTATTTTATTAATTATCAATTATTTTGAACAAATAATTTAAAATAAAATTTTAATTTTTTTTTTCAACATATTTGCAAGGGGCGGGTTTCGAACCCAGTCCGGAGAGGGGGGAATGCACCGGGGTGGCTATTGTCACTAGGCCGTAAGGGCCAGGTGCAAATAAATAAAATTTTAATTGTCTTTAATAATTTTAACAAATTTAATAGTAGTCATTACTACCACCTCTCTGCCAGTGGTTTATATACAATAACTGCGTGGCACATAATTACCAATTACAACAAACCTTAGTACTTAAAAAGAGGTTCAGTTTTCCAGTACCTAAGATGTGCAAACATTACCTGCTCAAAACTGGCATGAAGTTACGAGCCAATGTCCCTGCCTTTGACCCACGTTCCCTCTTCATTCATGTCAGCCAACCTAACAAAGCTAGAAGCTGCTGCTTCCGTGAGAAACAATGTGCAAATTATCAATACAAGGAGGCATGTCTTCTGAATCATGGACAACTCCATTCTGAGCATATCTCAGAATCTCGAAATGGGTCAAGATGATCTATATATACAACCTCATCCTCTAAGAGTGGAATTGAAGCCTCACCTTGTGGCCAATGAATCCACTCAAAGTAAGACCCCATGATGAATTAAATTATGACTGAAACTTCGAACAAGGACCAATTTTTTCACCTTAAAAAAAAGGGGTATTCACTTTGAATCGTACGATAAATAATGACACTTTCATACAATCATTTGTTGATAAAAATGCATAAGTTGTTTTTCTTTTTTCTTTTTTCTTTTTTAATTAAAAGAGGCAGATTACTGATTAGGTTTCACTTCACATGCCTTGGGAGTTTCAATGTATTGTCTCCTTTCTATTATTAGATTATTAGAATATATCAAAGTTGTCTTCCAACATATGTTATCTTTGTCTTAATGATGACCATAGATAATGCAGTCCAGAAATTGTCCCTTTAAGAAGTCATTGTTTTTTTTTTTTTTTGGTACATTTAAGAAGTCATTGTTTATCCATCTGGATCTTCCTCTTCAGACTTCACAACATTCTAAGATCTGATCCAAATAATTTATACGTTTAAAATTTTGTTTAGTATGGTTTTAAATTTAGTTTTTTTAGTTTTTAATTTTTATATATTTAGTAACTAT